CCACACTTTGATCGGGTGTCTCTAGATCAATCTCGATGGTGGGTCCTACTCTCTCCCCTTCCGTGCCCTCTTTCGTCCTGTTCTCCGCTGTACTCCTTGTGCTGACCATGTTAACTGAAAAGTTCTTCTTTGTTATCTTCGGACCCATTGGTGTTGCTTTGCGTAGCGACGAATTATACCTTGCTTCGGTCGATCTTTTTTCAGCTACCGGTACCCTGCTCCGCCTCATTATTTACAATTGTTATTATTTACAATATTATTATCTACAAAAATTCTATTCTAAGGTTTAAAAACTCCAAGGAAAAAGAAATTAATAATTCGCTAAAAACAATTTTTCTTGAACTCTTGTAAGCTCTTTTCGTGTTAGGTTAGGATAGGGAACGTGTTGTTATACTTGGTGCTTCAACCTAACCTATTACTTTTGTAGTACCCCCTTCCTAATGCTGTTCCAAGACTTTCTCTTTACCGTCCCAAGACCGTTCAGCGTTGTCCCAGTACTTCTCGTTGGTACCTTTAGACCAGCGTCCCAAGACCAATGGCCCAAGGCTAACGTCCCAAGACCAACGTCCCAAGACTAACGTCCCAAGACCAATGTCCCAAGACTAACGTCCCAAGACCAATGGCCCAAGACTAATGTCCCAAGACTAACGTCCCAAGACCAATGTCCCAAGACTAACGTCCCAAGACCAATGGCCCAAGACTAATGTCCCAAGACCAATGGCCCAAGACCAACGTCCCAAGACTAACGTCCCAAGACCAATGGCCCAAGACTAATGTCCCAAGACCAATGGCCCAAGACCAACGTCCCAAGACTAATGGCCCAAGACCAACGTCCCAAGACTAACGTCCCAAGACCAATAGCCCAAGACCAATGTCCCAAGACTAACGTCCCAAGACCAATGGCCCAAGACTAATGTCCCAAGACTAACGTCCCAAGACCAATGTCCCAAGACCAATGTCCCAAGACCAATGGCCCAAGACTAATGTCCCAAGACTAACGTCCCAAGACCAATGTCCCAAGACCAATGTCCCAAGACCGCTTCGTACCAAGACTGCTCTGGTCCAAGACTGCCCCAAAGTTGCACTGTCCCAAGACTGTGTTGCTCCAAGACTGTCCCCAGACTGCAATGTCCCTAGACTAGTTCGGTACTGTCCCAAGACTCGTTACTGAGTGTCTGGATATAGGATTTCTTTCTTCTTCGTTGTAGGGACTCCTTGGTTGTCTGTACCTTGTACCACCACTCAAGCTCTAGTGAAAATTTTCCCAAAAACCCTCTCTTGGTTGCCAAATCTGGCCCCCCCTTTATTAGTTACCTCTTTTTGAATGTTCCCAGCGATTGGGAGCCACAACTTGTGTGCAGGTATCTTGTGATCACCTGTTTGTATTAAAAACCAATCGCAAATCTTCCCCAAAACGCAACAATGTCTATAGAAAAAATAAAATTCTGTACCGAAAAAATAACAAAACAGAGTAATCGACCCACCTAAAATTCAAAGGAGACAAATGTCAACCTTCTTTCAAAAAAAATGTCTGGTACCTAATTGCCACGCGTTTTCCTCCCCCCACTAGTTGTCTTATGAGGTGTCACGAAAACTGTCTATATCCGTTCCCCCCTACCGATCCAACCAGCGTACCAATCTTAACTCGAGATAAGTTTTGGATGTCCACCTATTGTTATCACGCGTGTTGATGGTTAATGTAACTAAATCAACGATGTCGATTAACTAGTTACTCTAATTCCCCCCTTTTTACAATTTACAACCGCCAACCTCTAACCTAACCAGCCCCCCTGCTAACCTCCCCCCTGTTTAGCCCCCCTCTTAAGCCAAAAAATCCCTTAAGCGCCGGGTGCTAAACCTCTCTTGAGAAAACCGTAGACCTGTTTCCAGGTCTGCTTGAGTAAAAACTGTTTCAAAACGATGGGACTCCGCTTATCCAATTTTACACTTATTTCCTATAATGTAATGTGGATTCTAACGATACCCGTTGTCCGACTTGAGAACACCCCTGTGCGTCCTCTTGTAGTGGCCCTGTGCTGGTTGTCTCTGTTCTGCCCTTGACAGCAGACCCACTTTCCCACTCGACTGGTCACCTCTTCCAATCAAGCCTCCTGGTGGTCCGTTTCGATCCTTGTGAACCTCTTTCCCACTCGACTGGTCACCCTTTCCAGTCAAGTCTCCTAGTGGTCCGGTTGGGTCGCAATCTATCTAAAAACCCTTGACAACGCCCCCCACTCGGGCACCCTACCAAGGTCACTGGTTTAAATTGCTAGATTGATCGAAACGATCGGTCTTGTAAAACAGTATGTGTATACTATTTAATTAATACAAAGGTTCGATCCAACTAATTTGGTATCAAAGTCACTGTCTTTTTTCGTTTTATAGTTTTTGTTCCTATTTGTTTTCCTTTTTTGCTCGTGTTTTTGTCCCCCTCGTTGCCCCCCTTTACTCGGTTAGCTAAGCCTCGTTCGGAGAGCGTACCAGGAAGTTTTCTTGAGTTTTCTTAAAAAGCTATCACGGTACAACCGGAAGGTTTACACGTTCCCGCTGAACCGTACCACCGGTACTCTAGAATGGGCATGTAGCCCGGAGCTGTGTCAAGTGGGTTCGACTCCGTAGTCATGATGTCGTAAAAACACCCAGGAGCGCCATAAAAACACTATGTAACAGTCGCCTACTTTAGTCACATATGAGGCTTAAGAAAAATAGGCCCTATAACCATTGGCTCAAGAGTCAGGGACACTATCTCTTGTGTTTTTCCGCCTCAAGAACGGTCGGAGCCAATTCGGTTCGCTTGCGACATGAGACTGGAACCCATTACAGCTTAAAGGCCACTACCAAAATACCCCCCACTCTAGAAATAAAAACGTCCCCATACTTAGGTCTCGGGATACCCAAAATACATGAACGCCGTTAAAAACCGGGTCGGAACAATCCGCTTAGTTACTTTTTATTGGACAGTGGAACTTTGATCCATTTCAGATGGATCAACCTAAAACTCGCCTTATCTCAACATAACTATCATAAAATGCACTCGAGAAATTTAAATTGGAACTTACATATCGACGCACTTGAGTATGAGGAGTAAGTTATAACTGAGCAGCTTGAGAATTAACTAATATAACTAAATAAGTTTTAAGGCCAATTAGTTTCAATAACGAAAGCAAGTTCTGTCTCAAGAATTGAAGTTTTCGTTTGGACCATTAGGACACTCGAGTAGTCCTCTATTCCGTTGAAGGTCCACACTATTCCATTCGAATAGTGATCCTTCCTCAAGTCAATGTTGTTTTCTCCTGTTTTCGGGATAAGACAGCTCTACTCTCTTGATATTTCGTATCGAGAAATTGCGAACAGCAATTTCCTGCCTTTTTCTTGAGTAGTTTCCCGCAATTGTTAATTCGGGTGTTCTGATTTTTGACTTTTTCATTTTCAGTTGGTTCGAGAAAATTGAGCATGACATGCTCAATTCGAATTTTGCAAAATTAAAATTTCACTCCAAAATTGCGTATTTCTCAAGGTCAAACCCCCAGACATGACCGACTGGCACAATTGTTTGGAAAAGCTCAGTCATGGAAACGTCCACCGGGTGGCCTCAGAAAAACATGGAGAATGGACGTCAAGGAAGGCGTTGAACCGATCCTCAGGCCTCCGAGATTGAGGCACGAGTTTTGGAAGAAGTCATGGAAAGATTTATGCTACGAAGTCGCCCAGGACAGGCTGGGATGGAGAGCGGTGGTCCGAGACGCTGCAATCAGTGGCTAGCCGATGGGCAGGCATGCCTTTGTGAACGAACGAACGAATGGTACATCCTTTGTCGACGAGTTCACTGAAGAGCCGATCACGCGTTCTCAACTAGCGCAGACTCACTCAACGACATTCCACCCAGTGGCCAATGACTTATGGTCGTCGAAAATGGATGTCATATAACGTTATCAAAGCAGGGACCCTATACTTGGTTTGGTTGGGGGGAGGGGGAAGGGATGAGCATCCCCCCTCTTAATCCACCCCTGCATTAGAGTGCATTTCTAAATTCAAATTGAATAGATTGTACATCGTTCGCAGTGTTCATTAAATTTTCACTCACTTAGTCGCATTTTTGCTATAATCAGTAGAAAAGCCATTAAGGCAAACGGCTAGATAGCAGTAATTAAATAAAGCTTCTCTAAAGTCACGAAACAAGTATGTTTAAACATCTACAAACGTTTGATACGGCCAGACCTTGAAGTTGCGAACTTAATCTGGCAACCAAGGTTGATCAAGCATCAAAAGATCTTGGAAAACGTACAAAGAATTGCGACGCGTCTAGTTAGTGGTATAAAAAATCTATCCTATTACGAACGCTTTAAAGAACTGAATATATCATCGCTGGAATACAGAAGGAAAAGAGGGACATTGATAGAAATGTATAAAATCTGCTATGGTTCTTATGATAGGAATGGCACTGCGGGACTATTCGTGCGTAATGATAGGGATTCTAGAGGTAACGCATGTAAAGTAGTAGTACGTAAAGCAAATCTAGAAATGCGAAAAAAAATCTTCACGATAAGAGCACCTCTCGACTGGAACAATATGCCACAGGAAACAGTGCAAAGCAAGACCATCGACGAATTCAAGTGGAAACTGGACAAACAATGGAAAGCGATTGGAATTGACGTACGATCTCGAACGGAGATAGGAAAAAACATTTGAAATGACCACAAGAGGCACTGCCTAATGGTCATAAAAAACTTGACTTGACCATATTCACGATCTGTATTATTTGAAATTTCATTGCCTATGTTCTGTGCTTTATTTAGGGCTAGTGTTTGTTATGTGTTAAAAGAGTTAGTAGTTAGCGTGTGAGACTCGCAGATCGATCCGTGACGTAGCCGAGTTTTTACTAGTTCGAGTCTTTTTTTCTTATTGGACAGCTGCTTTTTGTCGTTTTCTCGATAGTGTTTGCGAAGCTTAGCTTCTGTGTTTAAGCTCTGCGTTTTCGCTTATAAGTTATATCACAAAGAATGAGCTCTAATTGTTTCAGATTGGTATTATCTATTTATTGAAATCCAGCTGGAGTTCATTCTGTAGTTCGTTAACAGAAAATCATCGAAAAACAATCGAGCGCAATAAAGGTTTATGCCGGTTCCGAAAACCAAAATTGGTAAGTGTGCATTTTTCTGAAGCTCAAAAAATTTGACTACCTACCTAAAACACTAAAAGCCTTATTTTTTTAGGGAAATCAAATATCGAGCTTGTTCGAGAGCGTCACAAAAAGCGTCGCATCAAAAAAGTATTGCTGACAACAGAGCCACATCAAGGCAGTAATCAGTCTATGTCGATTTATAAAAAGCAACCTGGACTAGACATTCTCGAGCATTTGGGTGAATTGCACATACAAAACTCGACTTCCAGCGCCGAATCTTCCAAACACAGTCAATGTTTATTTGAAACACACTGCAAGTCCAAAAGGTCTTCAGCTTGTCGGATATTTGAATCAGAGCAGAAACGAAATAAGTTGCAATCATGTCTGGAATGGTCAACGTCAACTCGGAGGTTACCGACTCCTTCTATCGGTACAAGATGCCCCGAATCCTAGCCAAGGTGGAGGGAAAAGGAAATGGAATCAAAACTGTTATTGTCAATATGGTGGACATTGCGAAGGCGCTCAGCCGACCACCAGCTTGTAAGTGTAATCGATTTATGATTCATGTTGCAAGTCAAAGGATTATAGGGTGGCTGCTTTTTTGCTCCAATGGAGTGTTGAATTAAGAAAGCTACGCTTGCTATTAGCAATTGTCGTCTAAGCGGAACATACTCTGTTCCTGTTAACCACTGTCTAACTGAATCATTTAGTTATAAAGAGTCGATGAACGTAGCGAGGACTCTTATATTCATCTTGGTGTTTTTTTGTTTATTTTCAGGAAAAAGGCTTCATATGCCGTTATAACTATGATGAGCATTCATACAAGTTATTACATTTATGAATACATTTAGGAATTTATGATATTTTGGAGTTCAATTCAAATTCTTTGCTAAAAGTTAACTAAATTGAGCTCTCCGAATACGAACGTGGAAATTGCTCGAGAAAGGGTGAACGGCTTCTAGTTTCGAAAGTAGATTTTAAATTTTAGATTTTTCAGCGTAAAAAAAACTTAACCCATTGATCCTGTTGTCGCAAATGTAGTTAATTTTATCCAAAATGTGACAATCATAAACTCGTCTTGAAATTCAAAGAGCATTAAGGCCAAATAATTTTTACTATGAAATTCGAAACTTGAAGTTAATTGCATAGTCTTGCATTGATTGACCCGTTTCCAACTGTCTGGTGGCTACGTTTACTTAACCAGGGTGGCTATTGTATCAGTGCCCTCGGTGCAAAGCGTGATCTGTCCGTGCCAGTAAATTAATGTTAGTGCCAAAAAAAGTTCGCCGCTTTTGTTCACTAGATCATTGAAAATGAAAGCAGGTTTATACAGTGAAAATTTGTTCAAGAGTTAAGTTTTCTTAAGTTTACAAAGAAATTAATTTTGAAACATTGTTGTAATAATATATTTTTCGAATCGTAAAAACTGATTTGGTTTAATTTCGTCCGATTTAGAATAGTTCCGATCATTTTTTTCGTCATAAAAGATATCAGCTCATAATAGAAGTGCTTAGTGGACTCATTTTGCATTTAATGGCGAACCAATACTTTTATTTTAGTGTTTGTGTTTTGAGGTGAGTGAACTTGAAAATCCTCATTTATAAAAACGATCTTTCAAGCTGAACGGATGTCTTTTTACAGTATTTTCGTCTTCGTTGCCGTTTTGATAGCTTTTTGCGAATTAGACAGTCAAAATTTTTATTTGTTATTATCCAAACTGAACATCTTTCAAAATAATTCGAGACAAATATTTGAAAATTTTTGGTAGATCAAGTTTTTTTTCGAGATTTTCAAAAAGTTCGGCTGTCGTATCGTATAATGTCGCTTAGTTTGCCATGCTGTAATTAAGCGGTGTCGAAGGTAGTGCAAAGCTCCCCTTCACCTCTCTGTTTACATTTGATGCGCGATGGTTTTTTCCTGTTTCCAAATAGTTCTTTGCAAGGGTTGAATTGTGATTTTACTAACCTTCACTTCGTAAATGTTCTCTTTTTTCGCTTAAAAACTTTATTTAGTTCAAATTATTTCGGCCTATTTTTTATCGCCATAGTGACCAATTTTTGAGACCTATATTTTTTATGCTTACTTCTGGATCTTACAAAATGCTAAAAGTAATAATAGAACCTTCACTTCGTAAATGTTCTCTTTTTCCGCTTAAAAACTTTATTTAGTTCAAATTATTTCGGCCTATTTTTTATCGCCATAGTGACCTATTTTTGAGACCTATATTTTTTATGCTTACTTTGGATCTTACAAAATGCTAAAAGTAATAATAGAAATTATAGTTCTAGTTTTTCATGACAACAATTTTTTTTTTTGGCTTTTTAATTTTTGTTTCCTTTTTGTTCGGCTTGATAGGTTTTGGCGTATAATATATCGGATTAGTGGCCTCATATCGTTTCATTTGTCAAGAAAAAAAGTTTTTTAAGTGTTTGTGCCTTGAGGGCGAGGGAGACTCATTAACTTTTCATAAAGTCTTAATTCTTGTGCATTTTCCTTCTTAAAGGGTTTCTGCTGAGGTATTTTTGGCTTTGTTACCATTGGGTAAATTATCTTCCGATGTTAGTTTCTTATTCGAATATCTTGGCATGTTTTTGGTTCAAAACTAGCTTTGTTCATTTAGGTATTTTCGTTCAGGTCTTATGGAATGTTGCAGGTTTTTCACTCAATCATATGTTTGACTGGAAATTTTGCATATATTACTTTGGTTCTGTTTTTAAAACTAATTGTTCATTTGTAGATCCTTGCAAATATTTTGGATGTGAACTTGGCGCTCAAACTCAAATCGACGCCAAAAAGGAACGATACATTGTTAATGGGTCTCATGACGGTTCCAGACTGCAAGAATTACTAGATGGGTTTATTAAGAAGTTCGTGCTCTGTCCAGAGTGCGACAATCCGGAGACTACTCTGCTACCTAATCAGAAGAAGAAAATTATTCCTCAGAAATGCATGGCCTGTGGCTACACAAATGCTACCGTTGACATGACTCACAAAGTCTGCACTTACATACTGAACCATCCTCCCGAGATGAGCGAATCGGCGGCGAAGAACTATGCGAGCAAGAAGAAAGTGAGTTCATTTTAACAAATCATCTAATATGTAATTGATATTTTTTCCCAATTTGATTTGGGATATTGAAAGTTCTATGCTTTTTTGGAGAATTGTTTATCATTACTAAGGAACAAAATATATACACTATCGATTAGCAAGCTTTATCAAACGGGAACGTTTTATGCCTGATCACTGGCATATAGTTATATATTGCGAGTGATGCAAATGCTTTGCTTTGCCTCTGCACCAACTCAATGTATATTAGCGTGGCGGTGATGAGAACGGAGATGACGAAGGCTTGGACATGGGAGATGATGACGAACTGGAAGAAGTGATTCCGACTGGGAATGGAACTGCGAATGGGGCAGACGACAGAGAGTTCGACGACTGGTCGGAAGATACGAGTGCGGATGCAGTGGCCAAGCGACAGCAGGATCTAAGCATGGGGGTGAAAGGACTGACTATCACTGTGGAACTGGAGAAGACTCCTCTGGAACGACAAGAACTGTTCTACAATTTCATGGAGGCTAGTACTGAACAAAAAACGATGGTAGTTCATGCAAGAATTGTAAAGATCGATCTGTCTATGAAACTCAAACGTTAAGCGAAACTCAAATCATAATCATTGTGTATAGTTGTAATCATTTATGATAAAGTTTAATAAGCAGCTTATACAAGTTTGATAATGGTTCTAGGAGAAGAAGCGTGAAGGCAAACTGGACGACCTGGCAGTTGCAAAAGAAGTGTATGAGAAGGCCATGGAACTAGACATCAACGATACTGCGCCTCTGATCATGGTCGGCGTCATCTTCACTGAGAATGTGCTGAAAGAGATGCCCCTTTACAAGAACCTGTTTCTGCGCTTCCTTCATGTGAAAGACATCAAGGATGGAGCGAGACCGAACGAGAGAGCCCAGAAGCAGTTGTTAGGTGATGAATAATCCCCTTTTTCTGCCTTGTTAGTCGTTTGTCCCCTACACTCGTTGATCATGAAGTAACTAATTTTTTTCCATCTAATACTGTGCTGCTTGCACAACAACCGGCTACATTTGTTTCTTTTTGAATGATTTTTAAAACTTTTTGTGCTACATCGTATTTACAACATAATGCGTCCAAGGCCCTTTGCCATTTTCTTAAAATCTCACTGCGGTATTGAAATTAAGGTGGTCTGGAAAAATTGATAGAGGCACACAAGGATCAGCTAATCAGCAAGGTGCAGAACATGCTGTATGTGGCCTATGACAACGGACTCATCTCTGAAGAGGTCGTGATCGAATGGAGCAAGAAGGCGAGTAATTGCGTTGCATTTATTAAGTAGCTAAAAGTAGTCTGTGAGATGCTGATGACATTTGTTTTTAGTGATGTTATTTTTGAATTTGTAAGTCAAAGTAGGAGACTATCAGTAGGAAACTATTTGATGATAGAGAGGCTTCAAGGGATGGGACACAGTTAGTAGAAGCAGTAACCGTAAAGTGAACAAGTTCAAGTTTTGTTTTTGAAAACGAATAGGGGTGCCTACGATTAGCGAGTTTCAGAAATTATGAGTGATGAACTTGAACTCTTTTCTTATTTAATTTGGTTTTATACCGACTACGATTGAACAATCATTTTAAATATTGATGCAGAGCTTGGACCTTATGTAATTAGCCTGCCTAGACAATGCCATAAATCTGCTGCTTTATGTTTATTATTTTATTATTTTTTATGTTTTCAGATTTATATATTTTTCCTTTTCTTTGAAGATCTCAAATTTCGTTTTTCATGTGATAAAACGGGCAGTGCTCTGTAACTCAATTGGGTTCGTTAACTGTCCCCTCACTGTTTTTGGTGCTTCGTGTTAAAATTCTCGTTATATGCATATTTACCATTAACAATGAGAAATAAATTCTTTCTTTCTCTTTCAATTTGAAAGGCATGATCTGATTATCCCACTGTTTTGAAAGCATCAAATCGTCCTGTAATTTTCAAATCGTCCTCTAAGTTAAGTGAATGCTTTATAGCAATATTTTCTTTAGAAGCTCACCATTTCAGTGGCATCCTTCAGGCTCATTAACTTGCTTGTTTTTAGGCTACTAAGAAGTTTGTGTCGCGTGAGTTGTCCAAGGAGATCCGAGCCAAAGCAGCTCCCTTTGTGGAATGGCTGCAGAATGCGGAGGAGGATTCGGACGAAGAGGACGAGGATGGTGAAGGAAACGAGGATGACGGAGACATCGAGGTAATAACGCACCTAATAATAATCCTTATTTACGCTTGCGATCGGAATATATACTTTTTTTCGGGTCAACAACTTGCTTAACAGAATCAATAAGTATATTGATTCTTAAAACTCTAATTTCTTAGCATCTGCTGATACACACTTACTCTGGAGGCAACGAAAACTCCTGGGACGGCAAAGGTCCTGGATTAGAACGTGACCAGGGCCTGTTTTGTTTTTAAAATAGGGAAATAATCCGTTTTGTATAAAATGTTCTTTCGTGTCTGCTTGTTTTGTCGGCGTATTTGCCATATCTGTGAGTTTTTTTTACTGTACGCATTTTTCATTGTTAATGTTTGAAAGTTGATGAACGTAGTTCAGACTCTTATATAGGTCGCGATGTTTTTTTTTTTGTTTCTTTTCCAGGAAAAATCTAACATTTGTTCAGGCTGAAATTTATTTTTTCGCAGTTTGACTTTTGAGTTTTTTCAGGGGTGAAAAATGGTGGCGGCTAACGTTTGAAGAAGAAACTAAAACTGATGATCAGCTTATATAATGCTTGAATAATGATTGCGCTTGTGATTAGGAAAAGTCTTATAATTTGCAAACGCTCTTTTGAAGTTCATTTCCTTTATTAAAGGAAAGCAAACTCCACTATCGAACAGCGAAAGTGTAACAGTAGGAAAATGTGATTGAGTTCTAATTTCAAAAATGGAATTTAATTATCAGGTTGCTCTAGCGGAATAAAAAATTACGCTATGATCCAGTTTTCTCAAATTGGGTTAGTTATATCAAAAATTTTCAATCAAAATTGTTCTTAAGTTTCAATTAGCTTATGGCAATATGTTATTTTTATTAAGAATCGATGAACGTAGTTCAGACTTTTATTTTAGGTCACGAGGATTTTTTTTCAGGACGAGTCTTAGAATTTGTTGAGGCTAAAATTTACTTATTGGCGGTTCGATTTTTGATTTCTTTTTAAGTTCAGTTCTTTTCCTTTTTTGAAAGGAAAGCAAACTCCTGTATTGAACAGCGAAAGCGTAAAGATCACGAAAAACGTGATCAAATTCTAGTTTTCAAAATGGAATTTAATTTTCAGGTTTCCCAGCGAAATAAAAACTTTACCTATTGATCCAGTTTTCTCAAATTGGATTGATTTTATCGACAAAAGTGTTCATCAATTGTTATAGAAGTTGAAAGAGTTCATTCACATTTTCGATCATCTTCTGTTGGGTCGATTTTTTTACTCTGAATCAAGTATCATTTATAGTAATCAGAATGGATCGAGTGGTATATCATTTTCATGCCTTTTTACGTTTTTGCGAATAATCATAGTTTTTAGCAAAATTTTAGCTCGCTCATAGTAGTGTGATAAGTTTTACTTAAGCTCTGAAAACTTAGTATAAAACTGCACAAACTGGAATTAACTGCTTTTTTTATGTCCAAACTTTCTGTGCTCTTTGCATTGCAATCATCTACTCTTGTTGTTTCTGTCAGTGGTTTTTGTGTTGAATTTTTAATTGCCTTGCAATAATTTTCAAACCTTTGGGTTCAGATCTGCTGGTTGCTACCGAAAGTTTTTATCCTAGGTAGTTTACACCGTATGTTTCTCAGTCCAAAGTCGATTATAAATAGTAGTCGATGAACGGACTCTTACATAGGATAGGTCGTGAAAATTTTTTCATGTTTTTTTTTCAGGAAAAGTCTGAAAGATTATTCAAGCTCAAATATGATTTTCGCGGTTTGACTTTTGATTTTTAAAGTTCAGTTCATTTCCTTTGGCAAACTCCACCATCGAAAGCTCAAAAGTCACGAAAAACGTCATCCACTTCTTGTTTCGAACGTGGAATTTAATTTGCAGTTATCAGTGAAAAATTTTACTTACCCAGATTTCTCAAATTGGGTTAATTTATCAAAAAAAATGCCAATCATAAATTGTTCAAGAAATTCAACGAACTTTAGGGGCATCTATTTTTTATTTGAAATTCGTAAGTTGAGATTTTTTCAAGAAACAAGTTTGTTTCTGCGTTGGCTATGTTTTTAAATAAGCAAGACAGCTAGAGCAATTTTTGAAAAGTTTGAAGAAAGTTAACTAGATCTTTCGAATATGATGCAGCTGGTGGTAATTTTATTTATAGTTCTCAAGCGCAGCTATGTTTAGTTCTCGACTTCGACCACCACCCGAGCAGCGGCAGCTCCGACCTCCAACGGGGCTTCGGCAGGAGCAGCACAGAACGAGGAAGATGACGACTTAGACATAGATGACATCTAAGCCGACATGCCACTAGGCCGAATGAAATGAAACTAAGACTTAAGCAGAGATCAGAAATTATTCACTTTAGTTTCAAAACAGAAAACATATTTACTTGTGATAGAACTAACAAGATTGCATGGCTCGTATACCTTAACATTGATCTTAGTTAACCTTGCTTGCACCGTTCGTTTGCGACCAGCCATCATGTATATTCCTCCGTTCCTGGACTTCTCGACTCATTAAAACATTAAGATTAACCTTCTCAACAGTTTTAAAAGTCCAGGAACAAATAAAGAACATCACGCCATGAATATAAATTAAAAGTTGACAAACTATTGATGATTTTCAGTTGTTGAGACCACTGGTTACATAAACACGATTCTCTTATGATTCTGTTGAAGCTTATTTTGGTTTTATATTTAAAATTGTTTTGATGCCTTATTTGATTATCAGTCTTCTGAATACCTAAATATTGACGTTCAGCTTGGTTCCAGTTAAATATCATGTGTTCTCGTTTTATAATTACGTCATGCTACGATTATCATAATTTAAAATCGACTATAGTTGAAATTTATATAGAAATGATATTGGTATTTTCAAAAACGAGGTCACATTTTAAACATAAGTTTTATTTGCTGTTAAACCACGAGAGTTTGCAGCGAAGTTCACCATTTCATGTCTTATATTGATAAATGCGGGAGTTTGTAAATCTTGCTTTGAGTTGAATAATCATGGTTCGAATTCAAAATTTCCTTCAATGTGGTTCGAATTGAATTAAAATGGTGTATACTGTATCAGACGAACGAAATTGATGGTTCGTTGTTTTACATGTAACAAAATGTGCATATTTAATCTCTACTTTCAGAATTGAGCCTTATTTGGTCGTGTTTTTTCTTGACACAAAGTTGAACTATTATAGAAAACATGATTTAAAATCGTAAAGCGAATTGGATCTCGGTAACTATCCTCCAATGGTACATAGTATATAATTTCCGCCCCTATTAAGAACTAATTCAACGGTTAAGCATATGCTGATTTTGTTCCGTGTAAAGAATTCCCTTTGTTCAACAGGGGGCTACAGTTACTGGACTTAGAAGTTGCAACTTTTTGGTTTCAACGAGCAATTGAACGAAATTTTTCTTCGTTATCCTTTTCTCTGTAATTTTTTAAGATAAAAGATTGAAATTTTGACATATGGCAGATAAAACTATTTCAAAGTTCTTAGCTGGGCCAAATTTTGAAAAAGTTTTTTTCTCGAAGGCTTAAGTTAGCCAGTATCTCATAATTTGATTTAGAGGTGTTCTTGCTGTGGAAACTTCCTCGCAAACAGTATGAGTAATTTCAATGTATGGGCTCAAAATAGTTCCTTAGGAAGCTGACTAGCTTCACTTACTCTTTATGCCGCTGAAAGATGACAGACAACAGAATTTGGACAGTTCGCTCCGGCTTTGAGAAACTTGTCATATCTTTTGGGACGACACATACATTAAAAATTCTCGAGAGCTTATACCAGAAAGTTGGAGAAAAATAACAAACAAGATGACTACTAATGCGAATCCTGTTCATGAATTTGGAGCAGTAAGTTGTCCAAAATATTTGCTGGAATAGTTCTTTGGTGCCTTATTGCGATCATCAGCGCAAAATTATGCGTAAAATGAAATACTGGATCAAATTTTGGCCCGGCTGAGCTCTTCAAAATAATTTCAAAATATCTTAATTAATTGCAGAGAAAATGGCAAAAACGTTAAAAAGAATATCGTCCATTTGACCGTTGAAATCAAAAACTTCTGTGTTTCATGATTGTAGCCAGAGAAACTCAGCAACTTTTCTGTTAAGGCGTATTTATAGCCAAACATTTTTTTCTTCATAAAAGGTGGGTTTGCAAAACACTGGAAATTCTCTGATACTTTCATAATTTATGGTTTCAAGTAAGCAGAGAAATTTTCTCGATGCCTGACGGGCTATGCTATTTGATTCTTATGACAAATGTATAATAGTCAAACTTTCACAACTTTTCTAGCTATGAAATCACAGAGTAATGAATGCCAATACCCTCTTAAAACATAAGTAATAACACCTTTTGTCCGGATTCAATGAAAAAGTTTGATCGATTTACAGGCGTTTTGCACAGAGTGTTGGCGTTTCCTTTGAGTACGTAAAATCAAGAATGTGAGTACCAGATCCCGCGTGGCCTCTAGATTCAGGTCTACCCTAGCCTGAGATTTTTTGGATAAAATGATGGTAACACATGAAATCTCTATACGCAAATGGCCTTGAGTAGTAAATAACAGCTTCGCATAACATGTCTAGAATGTGAGAATAAATATATATGAACTATGCTTCAACAGACTGGCTAAGGATAACTGATAGCTTCTCTGCGTTTCGAAGGAGCCACAAATATCTCCCGCTTAGTTATTTTGTCATTGGGATTTTTCCATTACAAAAAAAATCAGATTGATTTTGTAATTTTCTTTTTGGGATTTTTTTTGTTCATATAAGGTTTAATAAAATGAATCTGAATGATTTTGTCCTTCCACTTTTTACCAGCGAGCGTAATGTAGTACTGAGAAGCCACTTTTTTCAAGCAAATTAATAAAACATGTATTAATAATAATGTGATTGACTGCTAATTTCGAGAATGCAATTTAGTTTTCAGATTTCTCAGCTGAATATATAATTCACCTATTGATCCTATTTTATTTTTCTCAAATTGGGTTATCTTAACCGAACAAGTGTCTATCATAAACTTTTCTTGAAATTCAAAAAAAAACTTTTGAAAATCGAAAGCTGACGTTTTTTCAAATAAAACAAGTTAGCTTTGTTTTCTGTTTCTTTGCATTAAATGACTCTTTTTCAACTGTCTGGTAGCTGTGTCACTAAGCGTTCGGAATGCTAGCTAGACCAAAATCTATTACAACAACCCAAGCGTGAACCTAAAAAACTAGCAAAAGTTCATGTAGCTCTATTTAAAACAGACATTACCACAAATAGAAAACAAACAAAGTTTACCCGTAATTACAAAAATCTCATGCTGAACATGTTTAAGACAAACTGAAGATATTGACATCAAATTTTGAAAACACAGGGCAAAAAAAAGGCGCTTTTAGACAATTTTTTGCAAAACAAAATTGACCAAAAAATTGCGTTTTTCGGCGCGCGCTACCCCATCAAAAATATTACATGTTTGCGCCAACGGCGCCTGTGAAAAATTTTAGGGTCCGTCACCAAATATCGATATCTCAAAATAGTACATAAGGGGGATCTTTTGGGCCTGTAGGGTCTCAAATTTTTGAGAGGGAGGCCGTCCGCCCCCTCCTAAATCCGCTGGTGCCATTAACTACTAATGCTATTCTGAATTCTGCAACAACTACCTAATATACACACTAATCATACAAAACCCAGCTACAAAGAAAAATATAAATCATTAAATAGAAGAATTAGAAAAGAAGCCCAGTCGAGTATTTTGAGATTAGATACAACGAAATACGGCACCAAAATAAAGATAAATATTCACACATTGCACAAAAGAGGGACTCCGAATTATCTATCACTATAAAAAAAGTTTTGAAGGTTAGAGGTACTTCAGAAAATCCTTTAAACTCTTAACATTCAGTACATACGGTAGAACATTGGGAAAAAGACTTGAAATATGTAGCTCGAAAAGTTATAGGTAACAATATTTTTCAAAATAAACGCATGAGTACTTAAATTTTGATCATAGGGCAGAATAAACAGAACTCTTATACAGCAGCAGAAATCTTTCGAGTCTGGTTTTTGTGCTTTTCACTTTTTGTTGAAGTTGAACAGTTTGGTTTTTTGAATGAATATCTTTTCTGCAATACTCTGATCTTCTGTAGCATCTAGTTTTTTTGTGAGAACTTCAATCGAACCCCAGTGGAGTATTTTGAGATTACATGCATGAAATACGGCACCAAAATAAAAATAAAGTATAATCATGATGCACAAAAGACGGACTCTTGCACAAAATCTTTACTCATTTTGCACAATAGACAAATATTTTGCACAATTTTGTAAATTTTGAAGGTTAACTTGCTTCAAATAACCCGTAAAGTTCCAAACAATCAGTACTTATGGTAATACGCTGAGAAAAAGACTTGAAATATGTAGCTTGTAAAGTTATATTTAACAGTGATTTTTTGTATTCAACGCATGATTTCAGAAATTTGTTCATAGGGCCGAAAAAAATAAAAACTCTTATACAGCAGCAAAATTCATTCGGGTATGGGTTTTTATGTTTTGCATTTTTTGTTGAATTTGAGCAGTTTGGTTTTTTGAATTGATTATTTTTTTAGCGATACTCGGATATTCTATAGGCTCTTTTTTGTTATAGGGCCAACAACTAATATAATAATTTAACTTCGTTTATCCAACGCCAAATCGAAAGAAATGTTCTAGTCAACAACTGCAGTTTTGGTTAATTTTGCGAATAAATCGTTTTTGATAAAATGTTTGCAGATTTTCAAGAAAAAACTATTCAAATGAATCCAATTTAATTTGTTAATTCAAAATGATACTCTCCTTTGTACCAGTCATCCTGCTCGAAATTACAGTGAAACCTAACACATTCCAATACGATATTTTTTTGCATCAGCTGAAAAAGGGAATTAAAATTATGTCCAAAATTGTCTTGACGAAGCTAAAAATTTCGCATTTTCGTAGATTCAACGACTGATTATGAAAAAGTATTTATTTCACCGTTCAAGTGTTTATCTTTTTTGATATGCAAAGTTTCTCCACTATACAGAAAGAGACGACTTGCATACGGAAAGAAAGTAATTGATAATTTTCAAACAAATTTTAAAACAATTTTTATTGCACTAAATTTAAAATTCTATAAATTTTTCGTTTTCCTATTTTTTACACTTGCGAAGCAAAGTGTATTAACACGAACTTTCATTTTTTTCCAACCTAAGTCGCAAACAACAGTGCTACTTTTGTTGCCACTTTTGAATTTTGAATCAAAAGGCTGCGGTAGAAAAACAATGATAAAAAACAGCAGTACAATGATAAAAAGTTCGATTTGAGAAATTTTCCAACTCAATGTATTTCGCAATTTTTCTGAAACGCATAGTTTATACATGGAAAAATTCTTTGTTTTCCAATTCATTACAAAAAAAATTGTGTCTTTTTGTACTTAGTGCTTCTTTTGCTGCATAGAATGAGCAATTTATTAGCATCTAAAGCTGTTATTGGTTGTTAGTTTTTAGGGATTTTAGGCATCAGTGGCTGAGTGGATAGTGCGTGAGACTCAAATTTTCTAGGTCCCAAGTTCGAATTTGACACGTTGCCGAGTTTTCGCTTGTTTCAGGTTTAGTTCTTTTTTTTCCTATTTCACTATATAAAGCTACTTTTTGGACGTTTTCTCGCAACTTTTAAGTTTTTGGAAAAAAATGTAAAAAGTTCAATTTTTTGAAAAAAATGCAGAACTCTCAAAACTTTGGCTAGTTTTTGTTGCTTTTGATCTATTGAAAAAAATTCCTTCGTGCAGAGTTTAAAATCAAGCTCAAAATGTATTTTAATTAGCATCATATTGAGACACTGATACAAAATTTTGAAAAAAAAAATATGAATTTTTGCACAATTTTCTCTCAAAATTTTGAAATACAATAAATTTTCCCTAGTTTGAGCTAAAAATGGGTTTTTTAGTGCTCTGAACACTACAAAGAAAGCACTTATTAGCTGAATCAATATTTAAACTTCCAACATCTCGGGAAAATTAGTTGTAATTATAGAGAAACTTAAGTAAAAATTAAACAAATCTATCAAAAAATTTCCATTTTTAACCTTTTATTTTTGTAATTAACTGATTTTTAGTTCAGTTCAGGGAAAATTTGCCTACAAATATAATTCAAATTAACAAAAAA